CTCTAAATAAAGGCATACAAAAGTTAAAATATAAAGAATTTTAAAATCTGTCTATCGTTGCTGGACGAGCAACTTAAAAAACAATTGGGGACAAATTAAGAGTATACCCACTTATTTAGGCAGCACTACACCACTGAATATCAGTGATACCTCCTGACCTAATTACCTAGTTTCATTGGAACACACACACAAAGCACACTCAAGCAGACGTGTATGTGTATCTGTTCAAGTTGATGAACTGTGAACACACCCTCAGTAATTACACATAATAACACATCATCCTCTCTGTTACAATTTTTGTGAATGTGTTTGGAGACATTTTCCGGGTGTTTGAAACTGAGGTTTCACAAAATGTTTATGCTGAGCTGCTTTTTGACCCCCACCACCACATTTAAAATGATAAAATCTCACTTATTTTAACAATTCATAGTATATATCAAAGAGTCCTTATCTGAGTAAGAAGAGTCTTGTTCTGACTGAAAGCTGCTGTAAGCGAAGGAGAGAGAGAAAGCGGTGGTTCCCAAATCATTGGCGTTCCTCACGTCTTTTCGACGTTAAGGTGTAAAAGTGACATTTATTTCTCAATCAAACAGACGGATGGCAGCAGAGATCACACGGTCTAAATTTACCAAATAGGTTACGACGTTGATTGGTTTCCGTTAAAGAAACTCTAACTTGAATTGTTGTGCTCTAAGCTGCTCCGCTACAATGTATGTATTAGAGCTAATGATCCTACAGATTTATGACTTTGTTTCAGACTTCAGCAAACGGCCTCCTATAGCGCTTGTTTCCACTGAAAGGCAAAAAGAACATTGGGGGCCTGTTTCACAAAAGGATTGTAAACAAGTCAAAAAGACAATGTCTTCTACAAAACACACACAAAGGTTAAACTGCACCACTAACTGTGCTGCAGGGCATATTGTTTAAATGAGCCATTAATCATTTGGGGGGAAGAATGTCCCCATTCAATGTAAAAAAGTCTAATTACAAAAGCTGTCTAAATGACAAACACTGGTGCTGACATGTGCAGTTCAAAGTAATAAAGTTCCTGTCTGCGCAGAGTTGGTGGTAACTGCGCCGCAGGAATTATAAGGGATGTCATGTACAACCCTTCAAGTGAGCATTAAGTCTCTGTGTGACTTAAAAAAATAATAATCTGTAAGTGTAAATATACTTTGAAGGTAAGGTTAAATCAGTCCGTGGCAGGCAGTTGCTCCACCTGGCAGCCATGTGTGTGGAGACACTCTGGTGCTGCGACGCACAGCCGGAGCCTGGGATGCAAGTTTAGTAAGAGTTGCACTTTTGGAAATTGTCACTGAATGGTGAAACTCAAACAATATTTTTTGACTCTGGCCTCACAAAGAGTGGAAAAGTGTCCCCTCCCCTCCCAGCTGATCATCAATATGTGGACAGAATTGAGCTCTGTCAGCATGAGAGTGCAGCTCTGCTCAGAGTTAAGGAGCAGCAAATTTCACAGGTTTCTTTACAGGTGATTGATATAAAATAGAATTTAAATTAGACCATGAGACAGGGCAGATTTTTTATGCTATTAGTATCTACAATCCATAAAGACAAAAACACCAAAAAGGTATATTTAAAAAAAGCTATCCGTGTCCAATTAATGTCTTACCTATCTTAGCTCAAATACAGGAAGTAGCTACTTATTAAAGTTTCCTCCATGTAGAAAACTTCCACCTTCGTACTACTCCAAAGTTTACATGATGTGACTAGTTTTTCCATAATAAAGACAACATGAAGGATCTATAGGTCCTAAAAGCATGTTTGGGTAAAGCACTTTTTGCATATAAACACTCTAAACATACAAAATTATAATTTTGTTCCTGAATCCAACACAGAAAAACTTGATGAGTAGAAACAGAGAATGAGCCATGTGGAAAGTATAAACTGAGTGAGTGTGTGTGTGTGTGTGTGTGTGTGTGTGTGTGTGTGTGTGTGTGTGTGTGTGTAGGGTGTGTCAGAGACCTTATCTTTTGCCGTGGGAAACTGTTCCTTCAGCTTGTAATAATAATCAAAGTGATCTGCCCGGAAACTAAAATTGAGAGGGAGAGAGGGAGAGAGGGAGAGACGGACATAACAGAAAGATTTTCTCTGTTTTGAACATCACCATGGCTGATTAAATGAAATTAAATGAGAAAGTGAAAGAGAGCTTCATAGAAAGCAAAGCAAAGCCTGACTAGAGAGGGATACCCCCAAAAAAGTTTCTCCCACATTTTCAGCGTTTAGAAGGATGTAAATGCGCAAATGTAAGGTGAGCATGGAGTAAGGTACTGTATGACATACGACCACTTTTGTTGCTGGTTCATGTACTGTCATGGAAGTATAGTCTCAGTGATGTCATCCACTGGTTACTGAAGAAGCCCAAAGATGGTGGTCGCTACATTTGAAATGCTCTCGCCACCAAACTTTCAATCATTCTAGAAACAGAAAAAAAAGGTGGAGCTAATCCTAAACTAGTGTGTGTGTGTGTGTGTGTGTGTGTGTGTGTGTGTGTGTGTGTGGTGTAAGGGAGTTTGTATTGCGCTTGTGTGTGTGTGTGTGTGAGTGCAATATATGTGATGATGTGATTTAAGAAAAATGTGATGATCCAACTAAAGAAACTTCTGAGGAGCGAAGAAGGGAGGAGAGGAGGAGAAGAGAAGAGGAGAGGAGGAGAGGAGGAGAGGAGGAGAGGAATCGAATCAGGGAAGGAAAGACACAAAGGTAAGGAGATAAAGGAGCAAGGTGGGATCAAGAGGACAAGGAAGAAGTGAGGAAGGAAGTATACGTAGAAAAGGAAAGGAAATAAGGTGTTACAGAAGGAGACAGCGTGATTATAAATTGGTGTGTCTGTCCTCGCCAGATTAACACCCAGCCTCATGGGGCTCTGATGGCCCTCTTCCTGTTTTCGGACCAATAAGAGAGCAGCATTTTCCCTCCCTTTACCCTCTCCTCTCTCCACAGTGATATCTGATAACCACCCAGAGCCTGGGGGATTGTGGGAGAATGGAGTCATTCTGCTCGTTTATCAGACTCTCTCAAACTCTACGACTCATTTTATTAAAACTCATTAAACTCAGGAAGCACTCCAGGAAACCAGCAACATTGATTTCAAGCTCTACAGTTTGAACATGTTCTACTGGAGTCTGACTTGATTTCTATCTGACTTTAATGACGTTGGTGGCCAACAGGACTCAAAGACGAGTCATTTCCAGGAGTTAATGTAGTCACACTAGCACCCTCCTGAGGCTGGGGAGTTCATTGCACAAATCAACAGAGTATTTCAACTGAGTATTTCCAGGGCTTGACCTCCATATTAGGATGAAACTTGCTGTTCAGTGATTCAGTATTAATAGACTGTTTGTCTGCACAGACTGAGTTTATACACACAAACACTGGCTGGGAAAAAGAGTCATAAACCAGGAACTTAACTATGAGCGTCATGTCTCACATTGTTGTTACCATGGGTTAGACCAGAGATGATTGTGAATTGCATGATGAGCATTGGCAAGAGGTGTGGACTTTATGCTATTTTTTTTAAGTATATGTCAAAGTATAGGTTTCCAAAATTGCAATTAAATGCCCAATTCCAAAAATTAATCATGATTGATTACATTATTAAACATGTTGAAAGGTAATTAAATTGCGTCACAAAAATGTTTTTATCATGCTTTTATTTTTGTATTTTGAAACTTTCTGAAGTGAAGGGTGCTCTACTTCCTGTTTGGATACAAACCTGCTTTTTTAATTTTAAGAGAAATTAATTAACTTCCTTGCGTTCAGGCATCAGCTTATCTGACATTTTCAGGTGTTTTGTGCATGTGGGAAACATTTAGGTACTTTTTGTAGCTTCAGATCGACTTGATCGGGAGCAGTACAATAACAGTAATGACATCACACCCTTGAGGATCATATGGACAATTATCGGTTGTCACAAGCCTCGAATCGGGCCAGGACCCCCTGATTGACCCCAGTCTAAAATGAATTACCCTGATGGTGGACCATGTGTGTGGAGGTCCTTTTAAAATAAGGAAAGTCAACACAGAATTGAGCAAAAGACGGGAAGGGGAGTCACCCGAATCTCTGCACAACACAATTAAAAAGTGACAAAGACGTCATCCTTCAAAAAGACAGAATCAAATCTGGAGAAGACAAATCTAAAAATGTCAAATCAAAAAAGGCAGAGACCAGAATTTAAATATGAAATCAAACATTGTGTCTCTCATAGCTCAGGCTAATCATGAGAACTCATTTTAATGTGTGACAAACAACTGATGGAGACACAGGAAACTTTGTGAGGTTGTTACCGTAGCAACCTGAGCAGACTGTTTACACTGTGGTTTTCCTGTTGATCTGAGTTGAACCCTGAGTCTATAATAAATCCTCTGAACATGACATACACACACAAACACACAACACACACAGGCACTGACAAAAACACACACACATACATACACACACACACACACACACACACACAGGAACCAGTGGCAGGACATCCTAACACCCACGGTGATAACCTCCTCTGCTGACTGCAGTAAACCTGTTGCTGCAGTGACATCACTTCCTGTGTAAACCAGCAGGACGTCGGATGATGCAAAGGTTAGAAAAATAAAGAGAATTTATCGACACTGGAAGGAACTGATGTCAGAGAGGAAGTCACAGACAGGGACGCCATGTTAGCAGCTACACTTTTGAGGAGTTGGACCTTTTCTTTCAGAGGGACGCAGCATCGTTTCTACTTAACAGACACTTTTAGACTCTTCATTAGTGGGTTAAAAATGATTTATCTTTTTAATGTGGACAACAGATAAGAGTTATGCTGAATTCTTTGTCTCTGTAAAATTTAACTTTTTCACTAGTGGTGACCCCCAATGGTTGAATTTGAACGATTCCTGCCAAGGTGAAAGAAATGAAAGGACTGTACTGTTTCAGACTGGAGTACAGCAAAAGGCCAATCAATAAATGTTTATAAGTAATAGAGGGTATCTCCTCTCCTTTACCTGTTCTTGATGCGGAGTTGGACTCCTCCTGCTGAGCATGTTCTGCTGCGGTGAGATGGCGATGGTGTTTGATGTTGTTGTGGAGTTGATGGGCGCTGGAGGGAAGACAGAGGAGGTGGAGAAGGAGGAGGAAGAGCCGGTGGGGAGGAACATGGAGTGTCAAACTCCTCGATGTATCCCGGATCAAACTCCCTGAGGATAACAGACAGAAAAGATCATTTTAGTGAGAAATTGCTATTACATGTTGTTTGTGTTTCGCACTAGCCTATCAGGAAAGGCTGAACCTGAAATAAGTGTTTGAGTGTGATTTTGGCTCTGAGTAAATTGGCTAATCTTTCACCATCACACCTGCAAAATGAACGCATGGCTGCCAAAATAAACCAGGCCGGTATGTTCAGGTCTAACCGGTTCAAACAGGACTGTCTACATGTCTGTTTCTCTTCTTATGACATCACATTTATGATTTAGCAGTTAAATGATCAAACACTGACAACTGTGGCACAGGGAGTGTTTTAATTAAAAAGCAACTGTTCGAGGTCCCAGCCTCCGAGAAGAAGAACATGTCTGGTGAGGCGTCATGTTGTTTGAAGAGAGAAGGAAGTTATAAACTGTTAAAATATTTCAAACCCACACACACAAACTGGAACATACCATAACTGATTTCCGGGTCACTTGGGGTAAACGAGAAATCCTTCAACTTCCCTTAAATGAGCTTCTAAAATGTGAACATGGACGTTTCACCAAAAACACTCTCAAGCGTCAACTCTCCCTTTTCTGAAAGACCTCCAGAAATCTCTGCATTTCGTTTGACAATCATCTGAAATTTGATATTCACAAAAAAAAAGGTATAACCTTGTTTGTTGTTTAACATACTTTATTCATTACCGAGGGGATTAATACATTAATTATGAACTTAATATGTTTTGCTTTCTTCCACCTTATAAGGGCCAAACTAAACAAAGAATATTAAGATCACAAGTTCAACAACTTCCTAACGTAGCATCAATGAGCAGTAATTAGGAGGGCAAACTCTTAGCGACCTGTTAGCTTTACACTATGGTCATGTAGAATAATGTACTAATAAGCTCTTAAAAATTACTAATATTACCCAGGATGCTACTAATTAGCATGCTACTAAGAAGCTAGTTCAGCGGTTCTCAAACTTTTCAGTGAGTACGACCACAGAAAATATTTGGCTCCCCAAGTACCAACAAATAGCCAACATTGATACACAGTATAGCAAGGCTATTAAACTAAATTTACAGTTTACACAGGAGGCCATTTTATTCCTGATATGAATATTATTTACTATTGACCGCACACTGCAGCCTGGGCTCATTCTCTGTGCCACTCCAAAAGGAATCCAGACGTGGATGTGACTCGAGTCATATTTTTGCACTGCTTTGCGTCAATTGTTGCTAGCAGGTGCCGAGGCTTCACTAACACTGCTAACATCACCTCTTTGCACTTGTGCTGGGTTCACTGTTGTTGACTTCAGTTCCTGCTGTGCTGCTCATCAAATCCACCGCACTTCTCTGACTAATATTTCCCATTTAGAGCCACAAATGCAATTTTTTTAAATATTTGCTTTGCCTGCCATCACCATTTGACTTGTACATCTTTGTTTAAAAAAGTTTAAAAAATCAAAGACTCCCAGGGTACCACAAGATGGGGCGTACCAGTGGTAATCGTACCATAGTTTGAGAATGAATGAGCTAGTTAATGGTGATTATTGTTACCTTGATGTAATGTGTTACCAACTTTTTTTTTTTTTTTAAGTACAACAAAAGTTGTTTCACAAACCATTGTGTTCATGTTGCAGCTGCTTTACCAGAAGGCTATATGCAATAAAAAAATAAATCTTTTGTCATCAGAAAACAAACACCTCAGGCGTAAGAGTCAATGTTTCCTCCCTCCACCCCGAAGAACCATTTAAACGCACAATCCCTTTAAACTGGCATGAATACAGAAGACAATGCACAACTTACAAAAACACACAACACACGAAAACACACCCAAAGTCATATTGTGGTCTGAGGACATTCCACTGCCAAGTATTATCTAGAAAGTAATTCATACAGAATACATCTAAACAATGATATATGCCACACACAAACACACACACACACAGGTGCAGAGATAAAGAGCCATTAAAGTCAAACCTGTCGAGCAGGTCAGAGGAATGTGTGGCAGCCACAACACCCAGAAAATCACCTGAACAGGAGGGACCGTGTTGTCACATTCCACTTTCCATCTCAATACACACATACACACACATACACACACACACACACACACACACACCTATCACTGAGCTCACCTGACTTCAGAAGTTTCAGGTAGTTACTGTGACATCCAGAAGTGAAAGAGCAGCATTCATCCAGAGGAAACTAACAGTCAAACTTTAACAGAACCTTGAGCTGCATTCAGAACGTTTCTTCACACTTTGTTCATTTAGATTTACATAAATACTGAAGGAAATAGAAAGTTGCCTGGACAATTTGAAAATACAACATATAGCAAGCTGACAAGACTATCCTGTGTTACGTTAAGTCATGTCCTTTCACTTCCTGTACACTGAAGTGTATACATTGTATATATAGTTACACATTTTATGCATGAATTTAGTGTTGTAGTACTCGAAAATCTGTATTGGTCTTGAGATCACTTTATCAAGGTCTCAGTCTCGTCTCGGAATCAAAATCATTTTTACTCTGCCTTTTCTCTGTCTCAAGACCGTTCAAGACCTCTACTGATAGGCTACTTTTCCAGGACATTACACTGATTTCTAAAAAAAAAACAGAATCATTTCAAACCATTTGTAGTTTGATTTTTATCAAAAAATGGCTGCAACCTTGCCGGTGTCTATAGTAACACGTCCACTGCACATCGATATTTACGGTCTTGGTCTTGTCTCCGCCTTGGTATTGGCCCTGACTCGGTCTCGATCCCTAAATGTCTTGTCTCGGTCTCAGAGCACTCTGGTCTCGGGTATGTCTTGGTCTCAGTTAGTGAGGTCTTGACAACAACACTGCTTAAATTTCTCATGAAATGTACTGGGACGTACAATTTCGTCAGTTAGCATGATGCTAACACATAATAGACATTGCAATTAACGCAATAACACATTTTAAATTTGGTCGCAGTAATTTTAAAGTAAAGGGATATTTATTGTCTGTTTTATTGTCTAGGCCAAGTAATTCAGCCTTGAACTGTAAAGTAATGACAATCTGAAAACCAATCAGTGGGATTCACAGTGAGAACGTAATAAATTGTAAGGGACAGTGCTAACCAGCGTGCTAACTGGCTGTTAGCTTGGTGATTATTATTTTTCTGTTCAATAACTGTGTGCTGAAGAAAAATCCTGAGAACAAAATGCAAATCCTCAAAGAATTTCTGGATCTGCACCAAAACGGAAAAACTTTTTCCTTAGCCCCTGGCTGAACTTCCCACCGGGCTCAATTAGAATCTGTTAACATGTTACGATCAGGTGTGGGTCTACCTGCGGTCGCACTTCTAAGTGGAAGAGACGAGAAAGTCTCCAATACTTCCCACCGTCCATGAGAAAACTCTCCTCGATTAGAGGAAAAGAGCAGCAAAGTGGATTTTTCCACAGGGGGATGGAAGTGTAAAGTTTGTGTTCACACCAAGAAGCAAAAATTAAGCCAATGTGGAAGTGCAAAAAGCTGCAGTTCCTTGAGTGTCCACTTGAGGATGGCTGGAATAGCCCACTAGGACCCCTTTTAAAATGACCATTTTTAACCATTTTGTTGACCAAAGAGTAGTCAAACATGTCCCCGTAAAGTCAAACATCTTTGTTTCCCCACAATGCTATTATAACAAACACACCGACACACACATAGACCACCAGTTGCCAGGGCAACAGTTACATCCGTGTAATGACTTCTTCCTGTTCTGTTCTTTTTTTTTTGAGCACAGAAACTCAAACATTGATTAAGCTCGATTACGTCAACCGACAACAAAAGAAATGAGGACAAAGACGGAGAGTCACCGGAGATGAATGGAAGAAGACAAAGACAGAGAGAGAGAGTCAGAGAGAGAGAAAGAGAGAGAGAAAGTGGGGGGGGGGGCTGCAGACAAATACACGTCTGTAATTAAAACTGGCTACAAGACAGAAGTGTTAAAGTCCTCTTGACCTCCATTTGTCACTAATTAAAAGTGTTTTCATCCTCCCTGTTTTATTAATCTCTTAATTTGTTCACCAAGAGACCTGAATATACCACAGCAGATTGAAAGTTGCTGTCTCACACACACACTGTGACACACTGTGCTGAAACTGTTCTGGTATGCTGCCTCTCAGACATCATGACTCAGCTTCTGCTCTCGTCTCTGTTCATCTCTTTAACTTTCCAACCTCCCTTTGGTGTGATTCATTAGAACTTGAAGAGCCGACAAAGCTCAAGATAGGCAGTAAAATACACCAGATAGGAATAAACAACACCAGAGAACTGCACTTCCTTGAGTGGACACTTGGGGCTGACTGTAAATATTGATAGAAAAAGCCTGTGTGACGTCACTCGTCTGTTACTGCAGGGGGCTCTGGAGGCTCATCGATGGCGGTCTCTAGACTGAAAATGCTGTCTCAGTCTAACTTTCAGTCAACCTAACGACAGACTGAGAGCTGGAGCTGAGGCGGGTTTTAAACCTCTTGACAAACACGGCAACCGCTTGTCAATCATGTCAGCTACGCGCCGTCTATGAGTAACGCTTATCCTTTATTAAAATCAAAACTGTGGAATAAAAAGAATCACCCCCCCGTACAGTGTGTGCCCATGAGGACAATAACTAATCAGACCAATATCGCTTTTGAACCAGGCTGTAAACATGTTAATTTATGCTTTTTTGAATGGGTGTGTATGTGACGTCCAGGACTCTTGAAGCCAGCCTTAAGTGGACACTTGAGGAACTGCAGGATTTTGCACTTCCTTATCAGCTTAATTTTTTAACAGCGGAGATTGCCGCTTCCTCAAACAGTGACTCCATTAGCATTAGGACTCCATAGTGAAATACATACAGTAATATTTACATTTACAGTATGGGGTGGCTGTGGCTCAGTCGGTCGTCTCTCAACTGGAAGGTTGGGGTTTGATCCTTGGGCAAGACAGTTAACCCCAAGTTGCTCCCACTGATCATCGATACCAATTTGTAAACAACAAATCTGTTAAGAATGT